CCAACAAAGGCTAAATAGCACAGTCTGTCCTGCTATTCAACCCATAGCTGGGGGAGAAAATATGGATTCCTGCATTCCCCAAGGATATTTAGCGTAAGTAAATCTAACGACCTCAACTGGAATTCGAACTCGGGTACTCATCTCGAGGTTCTTGACAAAATCCAAAGAAGGATCTGCAATGTAATCGATCCTGACACAGAATCTCAACTTCAGTCACATTCCTACGAATGTGACGTATCTTCCCAATGTCTTTTCTGCAAATATTTTCATGGCAACTACTCTTATGAGCTTTTTTTCCCCTGGTGTTTGGAGTTTAAGCGTGCTATTAGATTGGCACGTTGGTTCCACCCATTTACGGTTGAATTAGTTAAATGTAACCACTACTTCTACTCCAACAGTTTCTTTTCTCGCACTTCCCAGCTGTGGAACTCAATTTTGTTTACTTTTTTCCCTGATAACTACAATCTATAAAAAGTTAAATGCAACGGCAATCGCAAATGAAAGAAATTTAGCAGCTTAAAACAAAACAAAAACAGATGGACACATGGCACAGTAAATAAAGGCGTTAGTTAGATCCAGTGACAGGACCGAAAGAGTGTGAGTTCAATACCAGGTTACGGCAGTGGAGAACTTTCAGAGGGGAATTAACAGGAGATAACTGATAACTGACATCCATTAAACATGTCACGTGGAACTAGAACAGTCTACCCTAGTGAGCGAAATAAAGGGTTCAGTTCGACATTCCAACCACCTGAAGAGGCCGGAGCGTACAACGGCCGAAACGTTGAGATAAATATGGCGACAAAGATGAGGACAATAGTCCGAATAATGTAAATAATGTACATAATACCTCATCTCAGAAATATAGACAGTTACCAAAAAGACAAATGTTAGATGTGGTGTTCAAACTAATGAACTCTGGCAACATTTCTTGCATTTTTCTGTCCCCATGTTGGATGCTCCTTCGTAAAGAGAACAATCATCTCGCGATGAAAATTTGATAACTGTGGCATCCTGGACAATAAATGGTTAAAAAACTTATATGTTAGTTAATTTTTTTAGTTCATTCATATAGTAAAATATATAGATAATTAATTAATATATATTTTAGTTATATTTTTCATAATATAGTGAATCTAAAATTTCCTGTTTTTGTGTAAGACAACCTGTTGTTGAAATTCTAATTCCAATACCGATACACTTAAGGTAAAAATCAAATGTCTGGCCACTCCATGTGAATCTCGTTTCATCACGCTGATCTTCTCGTGGAACAATTTTTTGTTCTTTGATACCAGATAACCGGCAAAACATGTCAAGGTAAAACGAAAATCTACATTATATTTTATATTTACAATAATTATTTATCGTTGGCCTGTAATTGTCGTTTTAGCGATAGGACCATCAGTATACGATAAAAAATAATTGGTTCCTGCATTTTGGTTCTATTCGATTTTTAATGAGAGAAAACGCGAATTTGAACGGTGGTTGACTTATTTTTTTATTCAATCAACTCATTTGAGCACCAGACAGACGAAAGTTCTTTAGTTAAACATCTGACGCTGTGCCAAGATTCTTAAAATCTGGCACTGTCTGTTCTGATTGACTCCTCCACGCCGATCAGTGTCCTCTCTGAAATTACGCAATTCTACGGGTAATTAGATCCCATTCTATGCACTTATTGGACAATAGACGAGTTTTTCATAAATTTCTCTCTGACTGTTCAATATACTACAGTCACAGAATATGAGGTCATGACTTTTTCGGAGCAACTTTCCCCCTTAAATTTAATATATATTTTTTTAATGAGATGCTCGCAGAAATCATTATGAGGTATGAAATATAAAATTTAATCCGCACTCCCTTCCTTCGTGTGTCGGACATTTAGATTTAATTCGGTAATCTTGAGAAAAACAGTATAATTTTAAATAAGGTGTAAGGGATATGACTTATTACGGACACGGGAAAGTGATGGTAAATATGTCCGAGAAACCCCCAATTCACAAACTATGTTTAATTTATTGATGTTTATATACACAATAATAAAGATTTGTAGATTAATCAGGAATTATCAAGACTGACAATAGATATAGCAGCATCTGTCTATGTCTCTGAGATGAGGTATTACGATTTCTTGCAATATTTACATTATTCAGACAGTTATCCTCATCTTCATTGCCATATTAACAAAGCTCAGGCCTTCTTCAGGTGATTGGAATTTCGATAACAAACCATTTATTTCGTCCACAGGGGTAGATTCTTCTAGTTCCACGTGCCATGCCACTTCCTGATGTCTCAGTTATTTCCCTTTAACTCAACTCAGTTTTGGTTCATCACCGCTGGTATTGAAATCCCAAATCTTTGGGTCTAGTCAATGGATCTAACCAACGTCTTTATCCACTGGGCCATGTGACCTTGAGTTGTGAGCGGAGGTAATTCAAAGAGAAAATAATGACTTAATAAATATGTTGACATTCCACACGAGGAACCTAATTTTGTGGGAAATTATTTGAATGGAAAGATTTTGTACATTTCAAACAGCAGTATCAACTGAATGGTCAATGAATGCCGAAAAATGAAAAGGTTAATATTACCAATACAGTGACCATCACCGCGATGTCAGCTGTGTCATTGATCCAGAAGCCTCTGTGGTCTGACATGTTGTTCTTTATTCATGACACCCAGAGCCATTACTAACGACGTGACTTTAGTACGACTCACCATCGATATCTCCGTGGGGTTCGTCACCTGATTTTCATTTTGTTCTCATTGGAGAATAAGCGGAATAGACTGGGTTCTCCTCAGAATGCTTCGGCGTATTCATCAATCATCGATCGGACCACACATATTGTCCTTTTTGTTAGACAGACCTTTTCTTATAGCGTAAAACTCGTAATTGCCATCTGGTACACCACAACTTTGAAAGCGGTTTCTACCACTTTGATCTGCTCGAATATCGCTCGCCATCGACTTGCTGAGTTCATGGGTAAAGATGTCCTCGATCGACTAGATGATCTCCGGCTACTTTACAGCACCTGACTACTTTGAACGCGAAAGGCCTTCAGCACGTTGTTAAACTTAAATCGTAAGGACTTGGGGATTTTAAAGCAGCTGCGTTTTGTGACAGTTGCCAACATAGCGGCTTGCCTTCCCATTTTCTGTCCTAGCCGGGAAAATTTTTAATGAACTTAATAAATCTGAAAGAGAAATGATACTGCGAAACTTTGGCGTTTGCCGCGTAATATTATGTTAAATCATTTTTTCATTTATGTTTCGCTGATTGTATGTTCTCAAATCCCTGACACATCCTGTATATATCACACATAACCAGGACCTGATATAGTAAACAGTAGATAGCATTTGAGCGCTCATCATATACCAAATGCTTAACCACTATGCATGGATTCTCGCGTCGTGAGCCAACGCACGAGTATTCCATCGGCACATTACCAATGAGTCCTTCCGTGAGATTAGAACATCCATTTAGTGCCGTAGAATGAACACATTACCGATGAGTTCTTTTTAATCGTGAGAGTAGAACATTCATTTAGTGCCGTAGAATGAACTCATTGCCGATATGTCCTTTCGTGAGAGTAAATGATTCATTTAGTGTCGTAGAATGAACACATTACCGTGCTGTCCTTCCATAAAAGTAAATGATTCATTTAGTGTCGTAGAATGAACACATTACCAATGAGTTCTTTTTTGTCGTGAGATCAGAATATTCAATATTTAATAGTGTCGTAGAATGACCTGCATCTGAATTTTAAGTGAGAATGGTTTGTGCATTCCCAGCCACATTCTCTTGTCCAATAGCCGCCATCTACTTTTTGCTGCAAAGGCTGCCACGAGATGAGCATCGTGAAAGGATTCAGGTTATATTTCGGCGTGACCTTCCCCTAGATAGGTTGACTTGCAAAGCGCCAGAGCTCCAATTTGCCCATCAAGTTTGGCCGGTTACAAATTCAGTTTTCCTTCTCCTCGAGAACCCAGTCTGTTCTGCTATTCACTTATAGCTGGGGATGGGGAGAAGATGATACATACTTTTCCCAAGTGTATTAGCACGTAAATGAAAGTAACGGTTCTGACTGGAATTCCAACTCGGCTCTTTGGTACCTAAATCCGTGCCGCTATCCACCATGTGACTCTTATTATGTGATGCCATACTATTTATCCTAAAAAAGCCAAAGACCCAAAGAAGGTGTTAGGTACAAAATTATCTGTCACTGGATTTTACACACTTTACGTAAGACCAGCGGAAATACCCCATTCGGAAGAGTAAAATGTGAACATTTTTCCGACATGTTCCATTTGCGTTTTCGTCGTCGGTATAGAATGGGATTTCGAAAAGAATTAAATGTTGATTGAGTCTGAAACGTCTGCTTTGTTAGACTAAGCCTGAATACATCGACCTGCATCGGCAGTGTTAATACGTGTATTACATGCTAATTGTTTAGATAAGCTCTTCTCTTTGCTACCTAGACTTTTACAAATTTAAACTGGTATAGAGATCTCATGAATTTACAATTGAGCTGGCTAGATGTAAGCGTAAATGTTTTGCTAATTTTCTTTTCTTACTCTTATTGCTTGTGGAACTGGCTTCCAGCTTCACGCACTCCTGCTAACTTTAATCTGAAAAAGTTTAAATAAATTGTCAATCGCTATCCACTTGTCTTCCTAATTACTCTTACCTCTTCCCGCTCATTATTAATGTTTCTGTTACTTATTCTTTCACACCCTATACCCCTTGTGTTTTAGTGGCTTTATTGCCTTGCATGTAGTGATAGAGTTTTTTAAAAAATCGTTTTTTAGAATGCAATGGGATTTTCGATTAATCTGGTTGTAATATGTAGTATCGTTTAGCGTTTTTAAAATTTCAATGCCTTTGTACTTGGAATCGTGTGGTGTATATGCGCGCATCAGAATACACTCGAGACATTGCGTCCTTGTAAAATCTTGCGTCCTTGTAAAATCTTACGTCCTAACATCATGTAATTATCTTCATGAATTCAACAAGTGCACATTTTCAAAGTTTAGATGTAGGTCAATGTGACAGAGTACATTGGTCGTTAATAACAGCTGCACCTATCACTTCCCTTTTCTTTCTGTCTTTCCTTCTCACTGAATCAATCTCTCTCATTCAATTCATCTCTTTCTCTCACACGCTCTCAACCTTTTTGTGTATATTAACAAGTATTTTCTTCCCTTTTCACCTTTCCTCTCAGTTTTCTTTTCTCTTTTGTATTACTATTTCTATCTCCCCCACCGCTTTTCTCTCCCCCTCTCTGTTTTTTCTGTTTCTCTTGATTCCTCTCTCTGATTTTCATCCCTTCTCTCAATTTCACTCGCTGTTTCCTCTCTCTATTTCTGTCTTCTATATATTTCTGTTTTTTTCTCTCTTTCGCCGTTTCTCCCAATTCTCTATATTTCTTTCTCTGTTTCTCTTCCCTTCTTTTTGTTTCTCTTTTTCTTTGTTCCTCATACCTTTCCTCTATTTTAGTTTTCCCTCTTTTCTTTCTCTTTTCGTTTTTCCTCCTTTCTCTCTGTTGAACTCTCTGGTTTCCTACTCTCTCTTCTCATTTCCCGATTTTACTCAAGCCCCACTCTTTCTTAACTCCTTATCTTCCAAAGTTTCTTTTTACAATATATATATATAACGCTTCCTTTATATTAATTCTCTCTTTCTAGCAATCAAGATATCTTTATGCACCTCTTTCTATTCGCCCTCTTCTTACACTTTTTGACTCTCTTATGTATCTACTGAATTTTACGCGAAAAGTTTACCTTTTCTCTTTCTTTTCTTATCCATCTCTCATCATCTCTCAATACTTCTCTCTCGCTTCTTCTTGCATTTTCCCTGAAATATCCACTCTCTCAATTTCACCTTATTTTTCTCTTGCAGTTACTTTAGTCTCTGTCTATTTCTTCCTCTCTGTGGTTGACCCCTGCCTCACTCGCCTTCTCTTTTGATCTTACTGATACCGCGCCTGCTTGTTGGTCGAATTAAATTGACGAGGTGGACGAGAACCAATTTGAAGCTCTCTAATCCAAGTTGGCCACCGTCGGATGTAGCTTGGCAATGATTAATTTAGTGGGTTTCTCGACAGTCACACTGACACTGTCCCCTCCACACACACACACACACACACACACACATACACACACACACACACACACACACACATATATATATATATATATATATATATATATATATATATATATACGGAGCAGCCAAGTGATTTGATCAGCAGCTGGTGACTGACAAAGATTTTTTTCTTCAGACAGAAGGAAAATATATAGCACTGAAATAGGGTGAGTGAGCGAGGAGTTAAGGGTGCAATAATGTAGGATGGTAGGAAGGACTACTGGCCTAGTGCACTGGTTGACGGGGAGGATCATTCATCTTTGGTGACAAAATGTCAACGTTAGTACCAAAAAATTTCAACATCAAACCCGGGGAGACGTCCATATAAACAGAATCTTCATTTGCTTGGTTGTTCTTTTTTCTAATGGAGCGACAATTCGATTGTTTCTCAAATGAATCATTTCATTTCTATCTTTCATATGGTTCTGTCAGATGAGCGTGTAGAATATCGGTTATCGGAGCAAAATAGGTGTCGGTATGCTGGGTTCGATTCTCGACCAATGCTGTCTTGATCAATGTCTGAACTTTGGAATTCTCATTTTATCCTTTCTCGCTATCTTTTAAATAAGTGTCTCTAGCCTTGGTTGGCAACTACTTTAAGAAAAAAATAATCTCTAAATTCCAAAACCTTGAAAATATAGCAATTTACAGATTATAAAAGAAAGGAATCTATGGAGTTCAATGGTCAGCTATGTCCGGAAAGGACATAATATACACGTTTGTTTGCCTTATTTCAGTTAAATTTCTAAAAAAAAAAAAAAGGATTATTTAAAGTTAGTAAATCTTTTGTTAGTTTTGTTACCGGTAGTTTCGCATTTTTCCATGTTTTTCTCTTTCATTCCTGATAAATGGTTAAAACTGTCTCACAGCGAACGAAGACCTTAAATCATAATTAAAAAGAACCGTCTCTCTTTGTACCTTTTGAATTGGCGCTACGCAATCACAAAAAGAGCAGTTCCAAATAACAGACCACACAAATTGAAGACTTTTAGCAATAGTAACTGCTAAAATGTATAGTACATGTAACTCGAAGAGAAAATAAAGATATAATCAAGATATTGATCTTCCACACGACTTCAAACAAAAGGTTAGGAAGGAAGCTCCACTCAATACTGGAAAAAAGAAACAATAATAGTTATTAAACGCGAGAAAACTGATTTCCGGAAAAATTGGTTGAAGAGTAAGACTTTATAAAACTTAACCGACAGTCGAATTGGTTGCTCGATCAATGAATGCCGAATGTTTCCTTATAAGGAAACAGCTAATAATACCATTAGATTTATTATCGTTTGATGTCCACTTTTGAAATATTTTAGTTTTTCAAGTCTTTTAATAAGCCTGGTTATTCTGAATGAGTTTTTAAGCGTAATCTTTGTGTCAACATTTTTCCCTCTATTACACATGCATATTTAGTTATATATAGAGGATGTGATTGATAGATTTTCGTCTAATTCTGCAAAAATGAAAATAACACTAACATGTCATTTCAACTTATTTTATTTATATTTATTAAAACTACACGAAAACATGAAATGTTAGAGTCAATCTATTCAATAAAATGGCTATTGGCTTCAACCACGGCAAGTTGGTGAATGCTGCGCTAATCCTTGCCTTCAGTTCATCTTTGGTGTTACAAGGAGTCTTGTTGGCCTCTCACTCAACTGCGCTCCACACATAATAATCGATAGGGTTGCAGTCTGAGGAGTTAGGTGGTTAGATGTAAGGGGTGATGTGTTTGCAGAAATTGTCTGGCTGTCATGACTAGGTTTCCCTGCATGTGTAGCATGGTGCAGAGTCCTTTTGCCGGAGATACGGTTTTCCAGTAGCCAATCTCTTGACCCAGAGCAGCACTACCTCCTAAAGTCACTTGATGTAGGCCTCTGTGTTAAGTCTGAGGCGCTGTAGGAAGAGGAATGGAAGCATGACGCTTTAACTAGTGATCACTTCAAACACTTTGATGTTGATTGGATATATTCTATGCACTGTCCTCAGATTAACACCCAAACATCCCGAAATGTGCATGTTAGAGATTCTGGCATGAATGTTATGCAGTACAGCATGCTATTTCCAAATTTCTGGGGGAGTGACTTGCGACATTGTGTTCTTTTTCTTACTGACGGGGCCCAACTGACCCCACAATTTTAGAAATATGATAAATTGAAAATATGATACTCTAAGTGAATACTCTAAGGGAATACGGCGAAAATGTATAGAAAGTGCTTTAATAGCGAGATCAGCCACAGTAAATTTGCGTCCAGGTTCGTAAAACATTTCCCCATTCTTTTAAGATCTTCTGTTATCACAATGTGAGATATTTAGTAACAAAAGTGATGGAAACATGAAAAAGAAAAAAATCAAAATGAAATCGGCTTTACATCATCAAAACATGAAAAAAATATTTAAATTTAAAATTTTTAGTGTCACTCTTTCGTGCGCATGTGCAGTTCCATCAATGTATGCATAAGCTTAATCTTATGAAGTCCTGAAGAGAAAAAAAAAAACGCATCGGACGGAAAGTTTTTTTTTTTTTCATTTTGACATACTTCTCTCCACTGAAATTGTTCTTCATATATTTATTCTTTGTTGTTTTCAACTCTTCTAAAAGAACAACACCATTTATTAAGTTCACGTCACCGAATACCAACATTTGTCATTCCACGGTAATTTCTCAGGGAATGTTATTTTTGCAGAACCTTTCTCTCTCCAACATGTCACACGTGTCCAAGCAGTAGCTGATCAAAAATTGTCAGCATTGTGCAAACATTTGGTCTCTTAGCTCAATGGATTTAAATGCACAGATCTGATAGGTATCGTCAAGAGAGAGAGAGAGAGAAAGAGAGGCAGACAGAGAGAGACAGACAGACAGAGAGAGAGCAGTCGTCGGTCTTTAAAACGTCTTCAGGATTAATATCTTGGAAGTAATAGCGAACATGGAAGACAACCACTTGATCCTGACATGTCTTCACTTCTGACGCCAGATCCACGTCATTCTCGCAACTAAGAACTGCTTTTTCATTTTTTCGAAGTTGAACATTTGTAGAATTTCTTTTGAGAATATATGATATTTTCTATTGAATTCTTCTATTTTAATTTCTAAAAAAAGTAGTTCGGTTCCAGACTATTAGCGAGTACTTACTTCCAACGATATCTGAAAATAAAATGCATTTACGTCCCTTTCCCGCTAGTAGGACCGTAGCACTTCTGAATAAAACATTAAAAATCTGACACGCGCGTGTAATTTATTGTTTAAATCCAAACCAATCCTTGCTATTCTCAGGCATTAAATAAATAAAAGTTATTCTATTATGTGTTAAAATACACTTGTCTTTTATTTGTTCATCCCAATAACCTGGAATATAAATAAAAACAAATATATATATATATATGAATGCACTAGAAAGAATAATCAAAAACTAATACACATTGGAAATTATCACACACATCCTTAGCGCTTGTGGAATGCTTGCACATAATGACTACCATCGCCGCCATGTTAAAGTTGCCTCCCATTTGCAATAAGAACCACAAGTCGACGAGAAATTATACCGCCACAAGCTAGAACATTCGAAAAAACTATGATTTAAAGGATTCCAACGTCCAAACAGCAAGCATCCTTGAAAACAACAAACCAGACAACTCCGTCGTTTATAAAAACAAAAAAAGGGGGGAAAACATACAAGAAAATCCAGTTTATCTATGTGAATCTTCCTGGTGGCCAAAATCTGAAGGTCAAAAAAATTGAAAAGCTTAAGAATCCACCGACATCCGGATAGAAGTTGTCAAAACTTGGGACGTTCAGGCTATTATTGTCCCAATTATCATTGGAGGCGTTGTTCTCTACACAATTGAACTTAAAGTCGTTCATTGATAAAACAAAGATAAAATCTAATATCCCGTCGCTTCAGAAATCAGTGATGATTGGCACTGCAAATATTCTGTGAAAGAGGATATCTCTTTGAAGTTGTACGAATTCATGGAGAACGTTCATATCAAAAGATCCGGTTGAGAAGTAAAACCCGTACGGAAGGTAATAATAATAATAATAATAATAATATTCTCATAACTTATAACAACATTTAAAACTATTCATTGGATGCTATATAAAGTGAACAAGATCGGTCGTAAACGTGTTTAAAACAAAAACCATGAAATTTATTTGCGTTAAATCAACAAGTCCACGGAACAATAGCAAATTTAGGTTGTTTTTTTTTTGTTGCTTTTTTTTTACAGTGAGGCTCACCTTATACAAGATAACGGTTAACCCTAGACGTGAATAGATTAAAATTGTGATCAGGAAAATATCCTCATGAGAGTCAATGCGACAGTGTAAGGGCTCACGGGAAGAAGTCATAAATATTTTTTTGAAAAATAGCTAATAAAATAAAACATAACTTTGCTATTCAGATAGAAGCATGAAAAATCGATTTTTTCTACTATCAGTCTTGGTATATATATATATATATATATATATATATATATATATATATATTAGGTTGTCACACATGAAAGGATGCACTTTTTGGTTGATTCTTGATCCAGTCGTCTAACGATGCAACCTCCTTAGTATGTAAAAATTCTTGACTTATTCCTGACACGTTTTCTTTTCAGATTATTTTTCTTTCAAAATATTGTTACTCATATTCCCAATGAAAAGGATTACAATGTAACATTGTCGAGTAATCTTCTTACTGTATGAATGCAAATTGGGAAAAAACACCATTTTTGCATCGAATCATTACATGCGATGAGAAATGAATAATCAGTGAGAAGAGTAATAGAAAATGACAGTCATTAGATGTAAGTGAATCACCAAAAACAATAT